TTAACCAGTTCTCTATCAGTGGACATATACACATTACAATTTAAACCTCACTTGGTGGGGGAGGGGTCCTGAAGAGGAGTTTTAGTGGTTGATTTGTTTTTGTGGTTGCATGCTTGCTAAAAGGAATCAAGTCCATGCCATCTGATTTTCCCATCAGGAAAGTATTTCTATTCTTCAAAAAGGAATGTCCGTATTTGTGGAGTCTCTGACTCATTTGATGCCTCTTTAACAGAGAAGAATTTCGCAGAAAGAGCCCTACCCTCCCTGTTTGCCTATGTCCAAGAGAAGTATTTGCACCAGACAAAGTTTCTCTCCTGTTCCTCTTCTTACTAAATGCCAGCTAAATCCGACAGGGGGCGTGCTGAGCCTTGGTGCACCAGCTTTATCAACACCGACACCCAGAACTGGAGCCAAACAATCCTTCCCAGAGGACTCCACTCCATTTCAGTGAAAATAAGCAGTTTCTCTTCATTTGGAATTGTGTTCAGCATGCCATAGCTTGTATTCAGGGTTGATGCTTTGCATTTTCCATTGCTCACTCTATTTGCTGAAAGGCACAGTGTTCCACTGTGTGCTTTCAGCTGGTGAGGCAGGGTCTGTAAAAGGGACAGAGAGATGGAAACAAACAACCCTTTGGTCCAGAAAAAGAACACCAGGATGCAACCCTGTCAGCAGCTGGAATCTCACAGCTCTCTATTGTGTTCCTCTATCCATCCATTTGTTCAGCAAAGTGTGACTATTTACCAGGAGCCAGCTACCGGGCTGGGGACTTCAATAAAGCCGAGTCCCTCCTGTTGAGAAGCTCATAGCGTAGCATGAGGAGACAGATGCACGAATAGTTTCTGATACAAAGGGGAAGGTGGTCTGGGAAGGTTCCCACTACTTCCTGGGAGAATAGGGAAGGGTTCACAGGGTACAGCCTTCCTCCCCATCCCACCCCCTACCCTTCCTGCAGTGACGTGAGGCGTGAAAGTACAGGCCGGGTGGGTGGGAGAGCAGCCAGGCATTCTCATCTCTTATCGAGGTTCTGCCTTAAATCTTACCAGCTTACACTGAGGGAGCCCCCAACAAGGTGTGAGGGGTGCAGCGTGCAGTATGTTCCATTCAGTTTGGGGTCGTGCTGGAAGAGACCCTAGGGAGACAATGTGTTTTGTTAACAATAAATGATTGAGATGAATGATGTGTTGTCACATCAGAGAAGCCATCCCGAATGGAAAACCAGTCTTCAGCAGCTGGCTTACAGCTGCCAAAGACAGCAGAGATGTTTTTCTCCCCAGATTTATAAGCACTATTCTTGCTTCTCTGACATATAGGAAAAGTGCCTATAATATTTATATATTTCTCTTCCTCAAAAATCCCTTCCTTTCTTCTCCTTCAAACATTAATATATAGGGTAGCTTTCCTGAACCAGAAAGCAATGAGAATTATTTATTAAGTGCTAATTTATGCATAGCGTGGTGCTTGAAAACATTCAAAGAACACAGGGAATTTGCTGCAGGGTGAGAATTTTCGTCTCAGGGAAGCAGTGAGTCTGGCTGATAAACAGAAAAGTCACGAAAATAAGGGAATGGAAATGCCATCAAATCTCTTTTCCTCCTCTGCCTTCAGCATGCACTGGTCTCTTATCCCAAGAATAAAAAACAAACATAAACCAAAACTACAGTCTTAATTGGTTTTACCTTCCTGCCTTCCCAAGGCTGGGTCCGTCCATTTTCTCCTGTTCAGATTCATTGTTTTCTAGAACTGCTGCTACATATCCCTTACCCTCAATTCAGTCCTTAAATTTCTGCAGTTAAGCCAAAAAGGTGGCTTCCTTTCTACTAAAAGAGCACTTAAAAATCACCAATAAACTCCACATTCTACCAATTATCTCTCCTTTTCTAACGTTACTTGAACTATCCACAGAATTTAGCACTGCTGACCAGTTTGCCCTTGAGACTCTCCCTCTTGGCCTTTGTGAGGTTGTATTATTTTTATTTACAGTATTTCTCGTCCCGCTTGCTAACATTTTTTTTTCTTTCTTTCATAGTCTTAAAAAAACCCA